CGGCCCTTTGAGCCATCAGTTCACCCGCGGACCACCCACTTTACGGGTCCTCCGGGTCGTGGAGGAGAGCCACCGCGTGTCGAGGTGGCTCAAAACGTGACCCGAGGAGGGGGCGTTAAATCCGCAAGGTCAAATCTATATGTTTGGATGGCGCGGGATACGTGTGGCAAATTACACGGGTCGGCGACACGGCAAAGGGCCCGATCGGTTTTTTATGGAATTTTTTAGGGGGGGCTGCGATTTTGGGGGTTTATGGCGCGCGGGATTTAATGGGCGGGGGGAGGGGATACGCTGGTAGACGTTTTTTGAATATTAAGCAGTTGTTGCTCTTGAGTTTTCAGGGTTCAGTGAATTTGAATTCAAGTTGAGAGCAACACTGGTAGAAAATTACTCCCGAAATTTCAAGGGAAAATGTCGGAAATTTTTATGGAATTTTTTTAGGGGGGCGGGGGGCTGCGGTTTTGGGGGTTTATGGCACGCGGGATTTAATTGATACGCTGGTAGAAGTTTTTTGAATATTAAGCAGTTGTTGCACTTGAATTTTCAGGGTTCAGTGAATTTGAATTCAAGTTGAGATCAACACTGGTAGAAAATTACTCCTGAAATTTCAAGGGAAAAAGTCTGAAATTTTTAACAACGGAAAAGTTACTCGAAATTTCTGTGTAATTTTTCAGTGATGAATCAGCTCATTTCTTAAATATTCAAGCAATTCGCGATTTTGAAAAATCAATGATTATTTAACAATATATTGTGAAGGGCGAATTTATTCAAATGCTTGGAGAAATATCGAAATTTTGAAAAAATTCTGTTTCAAAAAATTTTTGTAGTATCTTATCACTTTTTGGATACTTTTATCACACAAAATGCTATTCACCGAACACAATTTTACGTGCCACACAAATTTTAAGAAATTTCGTCTTTGAAAATTCAAAATTTTGTGAAAAAAGTAATGGAAAATGGAAATTTCAGGTCAATTTTGCAATAAAAATTAATAGACGTCTGAAAAATTTGGGTAAATATACTCTTCAATTTCAATTTGTTACTGAATATTCATGTTTTTATTAAAAATTCAAGTAAAATGTGAAATTCTCGTCTTTTTACTACTTAAAAAATGGAAATTCCCAGTGAATTTTCAAGAAAATCGAAAATACCATGATGTTTTCCACTAAATCATTTGAAATTGCAGGACTATATTCACCTGCATTTTCCCGACTTCATTAATTTTCATGGAATAATTGAACTGAAATTCACAGTTTCCATAAAATTTTGAATTTTCAATTCCCAACAATAAAATGAAAATTTCCAAAAAATGTGTCCAAAACATCAGTCAAAATTTTTTACCAGTGTACACTACGAGCTTTCTCATTCTCATAATTAAAATAAGATCCCCATTTTTCCGGGCGCATTAACCCTCCATTTTTCCACATCCCTCAACCTCCAAAAGGAGCGACAAGAATCCCCGGCAAAACTTGGAAAGAATATCATGTAAACCCCGCGACTTTATGACTGAGTGAAGATTGGGAGGAGGGGGCAAAGACCTACGAGACTCCGTACGTCATGCCGCCCTGAAACTTATACACGAAAAAGAGAAACGAGGTAATGGAGGGGGAAGGCAAAAAAATGGATAAAAATGAGGGTAGAATTTCCGTTCTGTCCGAGGAGTAGTCGAAGAAAGTCCAAAGAAGTACAGTACCTACAGCGAGTAATGGAAAACCGAGGGCCCGGATTCGAGTTATTCTTCTTCGTTACCTCAATCGCTCCGACTCGATTCAACGACTAACGATCTGCAAACAGTTCGACTTATTCCTCCTCTATTTTTCCCTTTGTCCTCTCGAGGGCTCTCACCACGTCGGCGAGTACATATCGTCTGTTTCCAGATTGCAGAGGGCCGCTTTTGAAAATTAGACTTGACAATTTTTCACTGCAATTTACAGAACACTTCTTCAACATTTTACGTCACAGTGTTTCATTGAAATTTTAAGAAAATTTTATCATTGAAAGTCAACGATTTTTTGGAAGAATTAATATAAACTGGAAATTTCAATTGAATTATGACATGAAAATTACTAGAAATCGAGAGAATTCAGGTAAATATATTCTTGAATTTCCAGTGGATCGTAAATATTCTCATTTTTATTTTATTAAATCTCATGATTTTTTTCCCTTTAAATTGAATTCAATGTCACTCTCACGTTAATTTCTGCTGAAAATTTCCGTGAAATGTCAATTTTTTTCTCACAGAAAATTGTCACATTAGAGTTCCGCTAAAATGTCAGGAAATTTTATCACTTGAAATTGAAAATTTCATGTAAATATCAATGGAAACTGTAAATTTCAGTCCAATGATTCCCTAAAAAATAATAAAAATCAGGAAAATTCGGGTACAATATTATCAATTAATGAAAAATTAATTATAATCCAAAACCGAATATATTTGCGTTTCCAAAAAATTCGGCAAAAATTGGTTATCACCGAAAAACCAATGAATTCTTCCATATCAAAAGCAGAGGAAACTCCCGCAAATCCTTTTATCCCTTCGGCAACAATGCCGCGCACTTCCTAAACCAGATAGAGGCTGCAGCCTCCGAGGAGGAGCGACACTACCACCGCAAAATGTTGCGGCTGGCCGCGCGACCCTGACTGTTTACCCGTTCGAACGAACAGAAACCGTGAACGCAAAACAACTCCCCTGTAAACATTCCTTAATCGCCGTCCACTTACCCTAACTGAATTAAATCAGCGCGGAATTAGAATAATCAGGAGGTACCCAATGCGTGAATAGGCGTTAGAAGCATCAATTTTCAAAGATATCCAAGCACTTGGGCCATATTTTCTGTAATTAAATGCTTTTCTACTTTTTAGTCGAACATCAGAGCTTTCATTTGAGCCCCATTTGGAGATTTCCAATAATTTAAACAATTTCAATTATTCATTTATGAAAAATTAATGTTTGAACAAGGAATAATCCTGTGGAAAGTTTAATTTAAATGACGCTGAATCTTCATGATTTTTTTTTCAAATTTTTCTCACGCAATTCAGTTGACAAATTTGACGATTGAAAATGGTTAAATCTATATTATGATCAATGATTTTATTATTTAAACTTCGCAGGTCTGAATTTGAATCTTGATATCGAACCGTTGCAAAACATTTAAAAAATCTGGAAAGAAATTGAAAAGTTTACTTTTGGAGGAAGATTAATGAAATTTAACAATTTCAATTTTTAAAAATTAACGAGCATTTCGTATAAATAATTTATAAACAACCAATTTTAAAAAAATTAATATTTCTGTGCAAAATGTAATTTAACTGCCGCTGAATATTCACGCTTTTTGTCAATTTTTTCTCACGCAATTTAATTCACAAAATTGAAAACAATTTCGTGAATTTCGACAACAACTTGTTGAAATTGAACAACAAGTTCTGTACCAAACTGTAAAAAATACTTGGATATCCTCAAAGCACCGTAAAAATAAG